CCTCTAAGAGTAATAATAAGTTCTGTCCATGCTTAAGCCATTTTAGAAATGGCTAGAAAATACTAGAAAACCCAGTATTTTCCCCCCACAGAAATATTCTCAGATGGGAAACAAAATATTCTCAGATGATCTATAATACTTACCTAAAAATTGACTTCTGTACAAGGGAATATATAAATAGGACAAAGAACAGGTTTCTTATTTTTCCTCCAACAGAAAGGGTTGGCTCCTAGCTTTGTGCCAGGCAGGTTATTTTTTGAGCCTGATGAAGTGGAAGCCAGGGTGGTGGATGAGCTGACCGCGTCTGGGAAACGTGACTCAGGAGCCGGCCCCCCTCGGCCTGGGCGAGTGACCCCCCGGGCCTGCGGGCCTCACGCGGGGGCACAGGGCCCAGCCAGGCTCTGTGGGGCACCGAGCCCGAGCGGCCGGTCCTGGTGACGCAGGCCGGGGTGTGGGGACAGGGCTGCGGGTGGCCAGCCAGGGCCGGCGGCTCTGCTGAGGGCCAGCGCGGGGGGCTGGGGGCAGGGCCTTCTCAGGCCTCTGGCCACTCGTCTGAGCCTCCCTCCACAGTGTTTCGGGAAGGCCCTTCATGGCCGTGGCCTGTCCTTGCTGGCCAGTAACAAGGAAGGAGTCAGGTCTACACCCGCTGCCGGGTGAAGCGTGCCCAGGTGCTCTGAGCTGAGTGCAGCCTGCCAGCGGCCCCAGCTCGAGACAGCCGGCTCTGGGGAGGGCCCGCAGGTGGGGGGCTGGGGCGGCCCAGTGTCCCCGTCACCCCGACTTAAAGAACGGCTTTTGTACAACTAGCTGCTTGTTGATTCCTTCCAAATAAGAAACAGGTCCAATCAGAAGCATTTTTTGAGATTTTTCTTCCAGGACCTTTTGGAGGAAAAAAAAGTGATTTTTGCCTTCATCTGCATCATGCCATTTTTTAAGGAGAAAAGATGTTTTTTACTTCTAGATAGACCTACTTTCACTGAATCATGTGGGTGAGGAGCCTGAAGCCCAGACTCCCCCACCACGGCCACAGGCCTCCCGGGGCTGCAGCATGGCCAGCCGGCTAGACGGCCCCAGGGGCCGTGGCCCAGCCACCCCGCAGCTTTTGAGGGTCTGGGCCGAGGACACCCAGTCTCTGGGATAAGCCTGAATTGTGGAAACCTGTCCACTGCGAATGCTCCTCGGACCTCAGGAAACAGTTCTCGTAGCTCCAGGAGACACGGGGTGCTGTCTGGGTCAGGAGAGGAGGCCCCCCGTTCGCCGCACCCCCCGGTTTGCAGTGGGGGTCCCCTGTGAGGTGGCCTCTCCCATTCCCGCCTCCAGATAAACGCAGCAGCCTCGTGGCCCGGTGCCTTGTGGAGAGCAGTCTTAACTGCGTGGACTTTTCGGAAGGGAAGTTGGACTTTGAAAGCTCCTGGCGCATTTGAAAACAAAATGGCTTCCAAGTGGTTTCCAGTCAGCACTCACGACTGACTTCCACTTCTTGAGCTTCGTCCCTGCCCCAGATTTCCTGTTCCCGCCCTCTCCCGCCGCCTGGGTCGCGCCCCGGCCGGGTGGCCCAGACCTGCCTCTGGCCTGTGCGCGGCGGCCCTGGGGCCGGGACCTGCGTCTCCGGGCCGGCCGGGTCTGCGCCTCAGCCCCGCACCCAAGCCTCTTCTCCCTCGGTGTCAGAGAACAAAGATTGAGGAAGAGAATTCTCTGTAGAGATAAAAAAAAAAAAAGTTCTGGTAACTTACTGTTCCTCTTTGAAAGCGTGTCTTCCCGGTGGCGTTTGGTTCAGGTCTGACTGGGCCCTGACTGAACTTATCACTTCTCAGGGAGCAGCGTTTAGTAAAGGGCGTGACGCGGCGCCCGGCATCAGATAGGCCGGCAGGCCCGTCCAGCCGGGGGGGACTGGCCCGCACCTCCTGTGGGTTCTCCGCACACGCTTGCTCTCTCCAGCTGCCCTGGTGATTTGTTTCTGCTCCTGGGGACGGAGTCCACGGGGAGCCAGAGGAAGTGGGGTGTGGTGGAGAACCCTTTCTTAAGGTGGTCTTTCTTCCCTCCCCTCCAGGCTTTATGATCTTTAGTCTTAATTTCTTTTAAGAGTCAACAGTTTTCTTAAAGATTTATTTATTTGTGCATACAGAACTGGGGTACAGGCCAGAGGTGCAGGGGCGGTGAGAGGCTTCACCAGAGACAGAGCGGGGAGCAGAGCAGGCAGATCGACAAAGTCCACTGCTGAGGGGAGCAGCAGGCGGGCCAGGAGAGGTCTGCCACACCATGTGGTCTCCTCCGGGGCTGGCGGGAATCGAACTCATGCGGAAGCGGCTTCAGATTCTCAGTGCTGTGCTTTACCCGCTGAGCCACCAGGGAGGGCCTTAGTCTTAATTTTTAAGAAACTGACCGTGAAGGTCTTCCAGCCCGAGCCACAGCCGCAGCAGCTGCACAGCGAACGTTCTCGCCTGACCCCAAGCTCATCGGCTTGTCTCCTGTGCCCCGACTGCCTTTCTTTGGCGTTTTGGAGAACGTCCTTCAGCCTGTCCTTTCTCTCCCAAAGACGCGCCCAGGATCCTTTAAAGCATAGGGCTGTCCGGCACCCCCCAGCTCTGCCGCACCCTCCTCCCTCCTCCCGCCCAGCCCCACCAGGAGGTGCTGGGAGTCTTCACTCGCAGGACAGCCAGCCTGCAGCCTAGAGCCCTCTGGCCGGCCCCTGTCCATCGGCGGTGGCTTGCTGCAGTGACCGTCCCGCTCCCAGGGCCGCGCCCCCGCTCCCCGCCCTGGCGCCTCTTCAGCCGGGAGCGGCGGTGAGGGCCCGGCTGGCTTCAGGCCCGTTTGAGGCGCGCGTCCTCGGGTGTGAGCGCGGGTCCCCACAGAGCGTCTCCGGACGTTCTCAGGCACGGGCAGCTGTGGCCCGCGGTTTCATGGCACGTCAGAAATAACCTCCAGTTTTCCCATTCTCTGTACATGAATAGATTGACCTACAAGGAAGAACTTCCACCATCATTATACGCGCCGATAATATTCCCCTTTACTCACTAGTTTTTAGAATAAACATTAATTCGCTCCTTGCTGGTCTTGAATGGGAACCGGAGCGTTTTCCACTTAATTTCTGGGTTAGCGGGCGTTCGTATTCCCAGTCCATCTTACTCACCTGTGGCCGCCTGGGCTTTTTAACCCCTGAGGGCCCGCCTTGGGCCAGCGGGGTCCCCCGGGGGCCGCGTGCCGCTCGCCCCTTCCTCCCTCCCCGGGCTCGGTGAGGCCGCCGGAGGGTGCTTGGGCGGCGACTTGGCCCGAGCAGAGTCTCTCCCCGCCAGATCATCTCGGACCTGGAGTCCTGGAACGACGAGCTTTCCCAGCAGATGAACGACTTCGACACGGAGGACCTCACCATCGCCGAGCAGCGCCTGCAGCACCACGCGGACAAGGCCTTGACCATGAACAACCTGACCTTCGACGTCATCCACCAGGGGCAAGACCTCCTGCAGTACGTCAACGAGGTGCAGGCCTCAGGTAAGACTCGCCTGCGCCGGGGCGCGTGGGGTGCACGGGTTCGCCTGTGCTGGGGCGCGTGGGGTGCACGGGCCGAGCGCAGCCCTGGGCACAGTGTGGGCCCCGCTGTCCCTGAGGAGCCGGTGGGCTTCACGTCTTCCCTGTCCTGGTCTGGGGCTCACCTGGTCCCACGTTGCCGGCGCCGGGCAGCTTGTTTCTCCAGCAGGTGTCGCTGTGGGCTCACAGATGGGGGGACCGCGGCCGTTAGAGACGCCCTTAGCAACCCCCTGCACACAGAGTCTCCTTTTACGCAAGTGCCAGGCCTCCTCCAGCATAAACTGGGGGTACGGAGGATGCCCACGCGGCAGACTGGAGTGCATTCCGTCTAAAGATGCAGCGGTTGCCCCAGTGTGGGTCGAGACTGGGACGGTTGGTGACGAGAAGCGTGGTGTCTGGCGCGGAGCACGCACCTCTGCCGGCCCTGCCCTCGGGCTCGGCCCGGCCAGGC